GGAAAATAGGGAACAATAACAGGAGTCACCAGTGGACCCCCCTTGAGGAGCTAATACAAAACGTGAGAGGAATCTGGTAGCCACGCGACGGCGGCAGGGCTATAACGGCGAGAACTAAACGTCCTTTGAGCGACCTTTTAATCTCTTTCGATTGAGCTGAATTTTTTTTTGCTCAGAAGTTTATATTTGGAAGTGTACTAAGATGAGGGGTTAAGAGTATAAAAATTTCCAAATTGGAAAAAAATTTGCTTCTTTTGGACCACCTTACCACGACGCCCTTCCCAGCTTCTCCGGCACACTGGTCGAGAATAGCTGCTCCGAGTCATGAATTTTCATTTCAAGAAGTCATTGGGTAGGGAACGAGGGAAAGAGGAACCTTGACCTTCACATCTTTGGAAGTGGTCAATTACGTTTTTCTCCTGGATTCATGAAAAACGGCTTCAATCCAAAACCGCAAAATGTCCGCTTTCTTTCTTGGTGAGGGTGGTCTATACCCAGGACGGAAGGAAGGAAGGTGGCTCAGTATTGGATAAAGAGCAGTGGGAAGGGGAGGGGCTCAACCTCCTCCACGCCCCCCCCCCCCCCTTCACACACGCACACACCAATATAATAGGAAGGAGGGTCTGCACTCTCCCTTTTATTGCCTCTGAGGAAGGGCTTGAGCAGGATCGGGTGAGCATGTGCCTCCAAATGCATGCACGCCCATCTTCCATCCATCCCACGCCCTTCACTCACCCTTGTACTTGCTGTGCGGTCTGGGTGAAGGTCAAGATTCCATCGGATCGGTTTCGGGAAAATCCACGCATGCATGGCTCCATTGGGAAGACAGACAGACTGACACATAAACAACCGAACAAATAAATACCGCCTGCCATTACATACTGTACAATAGAAGACCATTCCTCGTGTCCACGCCCGAACGAATCCATGCGTCCCCCCCTTCTCACTTCCGTGGAATGCGGCTCCGAGAACTCCCTCGTGATGATGACCATCGCCGCGGGGCCTGAATGCTCCTGCGTCGCAGAAGAGTTCCCCCTCCGAGTTGAAACGTTTCCGGCGATCGTTCGCGTGCAGGTGAAAATTCTGGAACGGTGGTGGCAGGGCGTTAGTGCTGCAAGGATCAGTACGGCGTTCCTCACTGACAATGCCCACGAATGATGTCCACACCGTGAACTATTGGGAAATGACTCCTGGTTCTACTTGCGTATCAAAAAAATCATCAGGAAATTGCTTGGGAATAATTTCCTGCCAGGATTTGGTCCAAGTGACCCGAAGTGACCCATCCGAACCCGTCGGGACGAGTTATTATAGTGGACCATGCTGGTCAAAATTGAGAAAATAGCGGTTTATTCACATACTCACTAAAAGATTCCAGTGTGTCCAACTTTCCTTCATGGAATTTATAGGAATTTAACAGAGAACCTAATTTCAGATCTTCGCTCCTAAAATCATCACGGAATGGCTCTTTGCGGTCTCTAAATTTATTGGGGTTCTTTTTTTTTTCTCCAGTTGACTCAAGTTGTGTCAATGGATAATTTGGGTCACTTCGGGTCACTTCGGGTCACTTGGACCAGAATTTTGCTGATGACGTTGCCATTACAGCAACAGGTTTCACAGGGTCGTTCCAAGGAGTATATGCAAAAAATGTTCCCAATGACTCCCGACTTTTGTTACACCCTACGTACACACGCAAGCCTACGAATAAAACATCCTGCATAATAAATCAGATTCCTGAGTTCCACAACTCTGTCAGGATCTCACTTAGGGGTCCAGGAAATCTCGTTCGCCCGTACAGATCCCGAGCCCCAAGCAATAAATCGCGACTGGACAACGAAAGAGAAATACTAAAGGGCTCATTTCCACGGAATGCCTTTTTTTCCCATGCTACAGCGAAATTCCCCCTTCTAGTTTAACCGATAGGTTTCCTGATAAGTTGCCATTATACCTCAGCGAAGAAGTTTTCCAAATTTCTCTTTCCCGTCTGCGAGATCAACCATGTTTCCCAGCTGCGTTCGTCGCGCTACGACTTGAGCATCTTACACGTTGAGAAATTCATGACAAAATTTGTTTCAACGCCCGATAAAGCCATGCAATTTTCATACCTCATTGATTTCGGTGCGAATGACTTTCTCTGCAAAAAGCTTTCTTTTTTACAACTAGGCGTTTCCTCTTCCTGGAATTACTGTGGTAAATGACGTGAAACGCGTCGAAATCCTGTTGCCAACGTATCAGACCGGAAGTTTCACGAAAGTAAACTTAGTGAGAATAGGAATACGCTCTTGAAAAGGGGCGAGTCCTTTAGGTTTTACCCTTCCTAAGGATGGGACGGAAACGACTATCCTATAATGCAACTGGCGACAGAGAGGTATTCATGTGGCATCTGGCAACCATGGGTTGCAACTCTGATAGGCTCGGCATTTCTCCCTGCTTTGTGTGATCGCGAGAAACAAAAAATTTTTCGTGCAACCCTGAGCTCCTCTCCCTTCCATGTCAAGGTCATCCGCACTAGAGCCGTCTCCCTTCAACGCGAGAATCGGGGAGTGCAGTCTGCGAGCAGTCTGTGTGCAGTGCAGTACCGGCTCCTCCCGTGCCATGTATCGATTCTTCATCCTCGCATCCCTTCTGTTTCGTCTCGGCGAATCCGCTGTGACCTGCGAGGACGTCGAAGGGAGCGTCCGTCGGTGCACGTGCACAGAGAACGACCAAGTCCTCCAAGTGCGTCCTAGCGAATATTGCATGCCGAATAGCATAAACCAGTGCAGAGGTGAAGCGAGCCCACTCCTGAGCGTCTCGTGCGCTGTCCCCCAGTGGCGGCGACTGCCTTCGTATAACTGGTTCGAGAATGGAAATGAAACGCTTGTCAACTCATTCGATTCCATTCGAATTCGGTCTGTCTCGAGGTGGAGCTGGCAATGCGAGAATAATGCACAAGATATACGCATCCGATCTCAACGAGTTGGCATGGACTCCTCCATGGATCACAGAAACTTTTGTTTTTGGAAAAATGCCAGTTGGCATGATATGCAATTTAAAATGAAAAGAAACGGGAAGACGTAAACGAGACGCGTGGGATGGCGTCTCGATGCTTTTCATTATGACCTGCGGAAATTGTCGCTATTTATTATATGCCGTGCAAGGAGAAGCCGAGTGCCGCAAAAAAACTCAGACGGAAAGATCAGGAAACCTCACCGCAATTTCCAGCGTTTTTATCTCCAATCAGGGAATCACAGGAAGAATACAAAGTGGCGATTAAATTCACAGTGAATTCCGGGAGAATTGCGCTACAATTACGGAATTACCGTCAAAGAATTTCCAGCAATAATAAATTTTGCTAAGGTGGTTCAACTACATAACAATTTTAAAGTGACTGATCCTGCAAAATGCGGCAACAACACGTTGTACTCAATTCATTTGCGTTCCGCTTTAAAGACGTTCATAATGAAGTAGTGTGAAAACCATTTCTTCAATGGCTTTTCCCCCTTTTTCAGGGGACTCACCAACGTTAGGCCCTGGCCAAACCCACGGGCTGACTTCAGGTCAGGGCTGGACCTACCGGTTTTTGTTTCGAGAAGAATCTTAACCCTCGACTTACCGACTTACAATTAGGTCTATGGAGGTCAATCCCAGAGTCTAGGAGGCATCTCGGTGAGGACGTGAACGTTATACCGATTAGAGGTCTGTTTCGAGTTTCATGAACCATTTCAATGCGGACGTGTACCGTTAGCCGTATCTGGGGTTCCTCGTACCATCTCGACGAGGTCTGCGGATAGAATACTAGGGATTGAAATGCATGTTAAGCAAGAGATGTTAAGCGCCATCATGCTAATTCAGGGATGTTCGCCCGCGATGTCTCCATACCCCAAAACATGGAAAGGCCACTGCCAACCACCGCTTCCATCTCATGAACTCAGCACAAAACTGTCCCATACAGTAAAAAAAAAAAAATAATATCCAGGCGCCGATACAAGGCGGAAGCATTCATGAATTCGACATGTCTCCAGCCCAATATCTGGCAACACTGTGGAGCGGGATCGGAGCCCGCACGCTAAGCCTAAATGAACGACAACTAATTTCAACTTTTTTTTATGGCGAACTGATGCATTGCAAACAACAAAAATAGCCCTTTTTGTGATCTACAGGATCTTTCTTTAGGTTGGAATACTTTTACCGAAAACACCCCAGGAGTGGCTACTCAGTGGGGAATACCTGAGTGAAATTGACTCTTTCAAAAAGCGAGAATAAGTGTTTTTCGTAACCCCTGGAAATTGAAGCTTTAAATTTGCTTGAGCGATTTTGCGTTGAAAGGGGAAGGACGCCTAATTTCGTTTCTAAATGTTCTCGTAGAGAGGAATACGAAGAGGTTGAATTTTGTGACGGGAAGGACTTGGAGAAAGGGAATAGCCGCTACCAAAGCCTATTGATTATGAACCCAGTTTTCCCCATTACTGCGAGGGTAATAGACATGAAGGTCCGTTGAGAAAAAATGAAAGACTTCTGTGAACAGGCGATTTTTATACCTCGGTTTGTGAGTGTAAGTCCCGAATCGCCTCGCTTTTAGGGTCGCAATTCCCCGACGAAATTCTGATTTTCCCATTTGGCCTTCTGCTCTCTAGCCTGCAGGGATTTCAAGCAACATGACCGAGCCAATATTTGGAGTTAATGACATGTGACACCGGTCGGAATCCTTGTGTCATCCACGTCAAGGCGGATCGATCCGCCTTGGGGAATTGCGACATCCCTTTAATACTCAGGCACGATCGACTCAAGGAGGACCCGCATCGCCTGACGCAACACTCGCGTCACCCTTCGCGGCAGAGAAAACCGGTCTAAGGATTCCTCCAATTGATGGGGTTATGTAAATCCAAGACAAATCATAACAGGAAATCGATTTCCCGATTCTGGCAGGCTTCACTCAGCATTAGCCGTTCAACGCTTTCAGCTTCGAAAGAATTCCTGAGGAATCTGCAGTGCGATCACCAACGACACGACTTAAACTTTTCCTACACGATCCTCGTTTTATGATGCTCTGTACCCTTACAAAAAATTCCTACAGGTTTTTGAAACACGAAAAACCCAGACAATCCTAATCCTAGTAGGTTTTTCTGGTTCTAAAATCCTACAGGATCCAATAGGACACTTGCCCGAGAGGATTCCTATAGGATTTTTGAGATCCAAAACCCTATAGTATTCTTTTAGAACATTTGATCTATAGGATTACTATGAGCTCATTAGAACCCTATAGGTTTTTCTGCTTGGAAACCATGAAAGATTCCTAAAGAATTCTTGACCGATAAAGATTTTATAGTAATGATGAAGAATACAAAGGAGTCTGAAAACTTTGCAGGGTTTGAAGCAGATTCTGTATTCTGAAGTAAACCTATTAATATCAAGCACCAACTGCAAAGAAAATTGAGAGTTCATGACTCTTTGAACTAATCCGAAAAGGCAATTTGTTATAAGCCTCACTGAAAATACTAATGACGATGATGTACCAAAACAGTCTATGAACAAATATGAAAAGAAAACATTAATATGTATCAAAGCTATTCATATCATTGAGATATATTATCAAGACAACACCCAAAAAAAACATATCCTGTCTTTGTGCATTATCCCATAAGCACAGTTACTCATGGTTGAGAAATATCATTGATACCAAGAAAGTAAAATTTCCAGATGTTTTGCTTCATTGCCGCACTTTCCATTGCTGCCAACTGGAAGTCCTTTGCGGATGCCTCGGGAACTTCCATCTTCATCCAACCTATGCAAGTCATAACAATGTGATTTAACTCAGAAAGTATTCCTGGAAATGTGATTTCCAATCACACATGAATAACTTGGGAGAATAATTATGAGCAAAAAACATGCCTCTACAAACGTAGGTGAAGTGCTACATCGTAGGCAGCATAAAGGAAAGCTCAATACAGGCCTTCAGAAATGACCCTAAAAACCTTCCCTTTCCATGTGTAAATCCAGAATTTCAGGCTGGTCAAAATTAACAAGTTACAAAATTCTTATTCTCACTTTATGACATTTCAGAATCTAGAATTTTTCAATTGATGAAAGTTATAAGAAGATGGAGAGACGAAATATGAAGAAAGAATTTCCTAGGAAGATTACGTCGTGCAGGAGTAGTCATGAAAAAATAACTGTAAATGAACCTAGGGCCTTTACAAGGAGAAAACCTAACCTCCAGTATAATTCCCATGCCTTTAAATGCATTTTTGAGGAGTGCATGTCTTTCTTAAGTTTTTTAAACTAAAACGTGGAAATAATGTCAGATCTACCAATAGATTGGTGTCATTCGTATAAATGGGACCAGTCAAGGGAAAACAGCCATCACCAAGAACAGTGAGTCTAACACTATAAACAAATCTTTCATAGTATGTTACCACAAGCTTTTTCAAGTTACAGTTCAAGTCCAAGGCCACCTACCAGAGCTTTAAGGTCATCAGTTGAAGAATATCCAGGAAGCATTACGGATTCGGTCCCCGGAATGCCACCTCCGGAGATAGCAGCCAGGCGGTTCGCAAACGGGTTGGGATGTCGTCGTGTACTGGTTTCTCCTGAGTTAGGGCTCTGGACCTGAAAATATTGAGGAATTTTCATCTATGAATCAAGGATACTCTCTCTGCCATGCATCTTTCCCATTTTAAGTTATAAATCTGAAGTTGACCATGAGCCAGGACATAAATACCATGCAAAGAAGAAGAATCTCACTCCATCCATGGCAGCACGTGCTTGGAAAAGGGACATTATTTGTACATACAAGGAGAAGTAAAAACAGTTATCAGGACTCACAGATGTCCTCATGGTATGCCCTTTTTCAGTCCATGACCTTCATAAGTTGATACTGCAGGATTCTCAGCCTTCGGAAGACAGGAGGGAGACCTAGAGTGAGGGATGTAATCATCCTGCTCATTTTCCCAGAGCTCTCAAGCCTGGCGGGTAGGGAACGAGGGAAAGAGGAACCTTGACCATTCACATCTTTGGAAGTGGTCAATTACGTTTTTCTCCTGGATTCATGAAAAACGGCTTCAATCCAAAACCGCAAAATGTCCGCTTTCTTTCTTGGAGAGGGTGGTCTATACCCAGGAAGGAAGGAAGGTGGCTCAGTATTGGATAAAGAGCAACGGGAAGGGGAGGGGCTCAACCTCCTCCACTCGCCCCCCCCCCCCCCCCCCCCCCCCCCCCCCCCCCCCAGGCCACCCCCCCCCCCCCCCCCCCCCCCCCCCCCCCTTCACACACGCACACACCAATATAATAGGAAGGAGAGTCTGCACTCTCCCTTTTATTGCATCTGAGGAAGGGCTTGAGCAGGATCGGGTGAGCATGTGCCTCCAAATGCATGCACGCCCATCTTCCATCCATCCCACGCCATTCACTAACCCTTGTACTTGCTGTGCGGTGTGGGTCAAGATGACATCGGATCGGTTTCGGGAAAATTCATCCATGCATGGCTCCGTTGGGAAGACAGACAGACTGACTGACACATAAACAAGCGAGCAAATGAATACCGCCTGCCATTACAAACTGCACAATAGAAGATCATTCCTCGTGTTCCCCCCCCCCCCCTCTCACTTCCATGGAATGCGGCTCCGAGAACTCCCTCGTGATGATGACCATCACTGCACAATAGAAGATCATCCCCCGTGTTCCCCCCCCCCCCCTCTCACTTCCATGGAATGCGGCTCCGAGAACTCCCTCGTGATGATGACCATCGCCGCGGGGCCTGAATCCTCCTGCGTCGCAGAAGAGTTCCCCTCCGAGTTGAAACGTTTTCCGCGATCATTTTCGTGCAGGTGAAAATTCTGGAACGGTGGTGGCAGGGCTTTAGTGCTGCAAGGATCAGCACGGCGTTCCTCACTGACAATGCCTACGAATGATGTCTATACCGTGAAATATTGGGAAATGACTCCTGGTTCTACTAGCCTATCAAAAATCATCGGGAAATTGCACGGGAATAATTTCCTGCCAGGATTTGGTCCAAGTGACCCGAAGTGGCCCCTCGGAACCCGTCGGGACTAGTTATTATAGTGAATCATGCTGGTCAAAATTGAGAGAATAGCGGTTCATTCACCTGCTCATTAATAGATTCCGTGCGTCCAACTTTCCTTTATAGAATTTATAGGAATTTAACAGAGAACCTAATTTCAGATCTTCGGTCCTAAAATCGTCACGGAACGGCTCTTTACGGTCTCTAAATTTATTGCGGTTCTTTTTTTTTTCTCCAGTTGGCTCAAGTTGTGTCAATGGATTATTTTGGGTCTCCCTGGGTCACTTGGACCAAAATTTTGTTCCAGATGACGTTGCCATTACAGTAACAGGGTCGTTCCAAGGAGTATATGCAAAAAATGTTCCCAATGATTCTTCCATGACTCCCGACTTTTGTTACACACTACATACACACGAAAGCCGACGAATAAAACATCTTATCCTGCATAATAAATCAGATTCCTGAGTTCCACAACTCTGTCAGGATCTCACTTAGGGGTCCAGGAAACCTCGTTCGCCAGTACAGATCCCGAGCCCCAAGCAATAAATCGCGACTGGACAACGAAAGAGAAATACTAAAGGGCTCATTTCCGCGGAATGCCCTTTTTTTTCCATGCTACAGCGAAATTTCCCCCTTCTGGTCATGCGAAATAGTTCCTCCTCCTCGATGACCAAATGAGACCCGTACCGAGCCTTTAACCGATACGTTGCCATTATACCTCAGCGAAGAAGTTTTCCAAATTTCTCTTTCTCGTCTACGAGATCAACCATGTCTACCTGCTGCGTTCATCGCGCTACGACTTGAGCATCTTACACGTTGAGAAATTCATGACAAAATTTATTTCAACGCCCGATAAAGCCATGCAATTTTCATACCTCTTTGATTTCGGTGCGAATGACTTTCTTTCTCTGCAAAAAGCTTATTTTTTTTTTACAACTAGGCGTTTCCTCTTCCTTCTTACTGCGGTAAATGACATGAAACGCGTCGAAGTTCTGTTGCCAACGTATCAGACCGGAAGTTTCACGAAAGTAAAATTAGTGAGAATAGGAATATACTCTTGAAAAGGGGCGAGTCCTTTAGGTTTTACCCTTCCTAAGGAATAGACAAAAACGACTATCCTATAATGCATACATTCAACTGGCGACAGAGAGATATTCATGTGGCATCTGGCAACCATGGGTTGCAACTCTGATAGGCTCGACATTTCTCCCTGCTTCGTGTGATCGCGAGAAACAAAAAATTTTTCGTGCAACCCTGAGCTGCTCCCCCTTCCATGCCAAGGTCACCCGCACTCTCCCTTCAGCGCGAGAATCGGGGAGTGCAGTCTGCGAGCAGTCTGTGAGCAGTGCAGTACCGTCTCCTCCCGTGCCATGTATCGATTCTTCATCTTCGCATCCCTCCTGTTTCGTCTCGGCGAATCCGCTGTGACCTGCGAGGACATCGAAGGGAGCGTCCGTCGGTGCACGTGCACAGAGAAAGACCAAGTCCTCCAAGTGCGTCCTAGCGAATATTGCATGCCGAATAGCATAAACTAGTGCAGAGAGATGAAGCGAGAGAGCGAGCCCTCTCCTGATCGTCTCGTGCGCTGTCCCCTCGTGGCGACGACTGCCTTCGTATAACTGGTTCGAGAATGGAAATGAAACGCTTGTCAACTCATTCGATTCCATTCGGATTCGGTCTGTCTCGAGGTGGAGCTGGCAATGCGAGAATAATGCACAAGATATGCTCATCCGATTTCAACGAGCTGGCATGGACTCCTCCATGGATCACATAGAAACTTTTGTTTTTGGAAAAATGCCAGTTGGCATGACACGCAATTTAAAATGAAAAGAAACGGGAAGACGTAAACGAGACGCGTGGGATGGCGTCTCGATGCTTTTCATTGTGACCTGCGGAAATTGTCGCTATTTATTATATGCCGTGCAAGGAGAAGCTAAGTGCCGCAAAAAACTCAGACGCAAAAATCAGGAAACCCAACATCGCAATTTCCAGCGTTTTTATCTCCAATCAGGGAATCACAGGAAGAATACAAAGTGAATTCCGGGAGAATTGCTACAATTACGGAATTACCGTCAAAGAATTTCCAGCAATAATAAATTTTGCTAAAGTGGTTCAACTACATAACAATTTTAAAGTGACTGATCCTGCAAAATGCAGCAACTACACGTTGTACTCATTTCATTTGCGTTCCGCTTTAAAGACATTCATAATGAAGTAGCGTGAAGACCATTTCTTCAATGGCTTTTCCCCCTTTTTCAGAGGACTCACTAACGTTAGGCCCTGGCCAAACCCACGGGCTGTCTTCAGGTCGGGTCTGGACCTATTATTTTTCGTCAAGAAGAATCTGAACCCTCGACTTACCGACTTACAATTAGGTCTATGGAGGTCAATCCCAGAGTCTACGAGGCATCTCGGTGAGGACGTGAACGTTATACCGATTAGAGGTCTGTTTCGAGTTTCATAAACCATTTCAATGCGGACGTGTACCGTTAGCCGTATCTGGAGTTCCTCGTACCATCTCGATGCGGTCTGAGGAAAGAATACTAGGGATTGAAATGCATGTTAAGCAAGAGATGTTTAGCGCCATCATGCTAATTCAGGGATGTTCGCCCGCGATGTCTCCATACCCCAAAACAAAAAAAGGCCACTGCCAACCACTGCTTCCATCTCATGAACTCAGCACAAAACTGTCCCATACAGTAAAAATAATAATAATAATATCCAGGCGCCGATACGAAGGCGGAAGCATTCATGAATTCGACATGTCTCCAGCCCGATATCTGGCAGCACTGTGGACCGGGATCGGAGCCCGCACGCTAAGCCTAAATGAACGACAACTAATTTCAAATTTTTTTTTTAATGTGAACTGATGCATTGCAAACAACAAAAATAGCCCTTTTTGTGATCTACAGGATCTTTCTTTAGGTTGGAATACTTAACCGAAAACCCCCCAGGAGTGGCTATTCAGTGGGGAATACCTGAGTGAAATTGACTCTTTCAAAAAGCGAGAACAAGTGTTTTTCGTAACCCCTGGAAATTGAAGCTTTAAATTTGCTGGAGTGATTTTGCGTTGAAAGGGGAAGGACGCCTAATTTCATTTCTAAATGTTCTCGTAGAGAGGAATACGAAGAGGTTGAATTTTGTGACGGGAAGGAGTTGGAGAAAGGGAATAGCCGCTACCAAAGCCTACTGATTATGAACCCAGTTTTCCCCATTACTGCGAGGGTAATAGACATGAAGGTCCGTTGAGAAAAAAATGAAAGACTTCTGTGAACAGGCGATTTTTATACCTCGGTTTGTGAGTGTAAGTCCCGAATCTCCTCGCTTTTAGGGTCGCAATTCCCCGACGAAATTCTGATTTTCCCATTTGGCCTTCTGCTCTCTAGCCTGCAAGGATTTCAAGCAACACGACCGAGCCAATATTTGGAGTTAATGACATGTGACACCGGTCGGAATCCTCGTGTCATCCACGTCAAGGCGGATCGATCCGCCTTGGGGAATTGCGACATCCCTTTAATACTCATGCACGATCGACTCAAGGCGGACCCGCATCGCCTGACGCAACACTCGCGTCACCCTTCGCGGCAGAGAAAACCGGTCTAAGGATTCCTCCAATTGATGGGGTTATGTAAATCCAAGACAAATCATAACAGGAAATCGATTTCCCGA